CTCAATAAAATACTCCCAAACCAAATCCAGCAGCACATCAAAAAGCTTATCCACCATGATCAAGTGGGCTTCATCCCTGGGATGCAAGGCTGGTTCAATATATGCAAATCAATAAACGTAATCCAGCATATAAACAGAACCAAAGACAAAAACCACATGATTATCTCAACAGATGCAGAAAAGGCCTTTGACAAAATTCGACAGGTCTTCATGCTAAAAACTCTCAATAGATTAGGTATTGATGGGAGGTATCTCAAAATAATAACCGCTACTTATGACAAACCCACAGCCAATATCATACTGAAAGGACAAAAACTGGAAGCATTCCCTTTGAACACTGGCACAAGACAGGGATGCCTTCTCTCACCACTCCTATTCAACACAGTGTTGGAAGTTCTGGCTAGGGCAATCAGGCAAGAGAAAGAAATAAACGGTATTCAATTAGGAAAAGAGGAAGTCAAATAGTCTGTTTGCAGATGACATGATTGTATATTTAGAAAACCCCATCGTCTCAGCCCAAAATCTCCTTAAGCTGACAAGCAACTTCAGCAAAGTCTCAGGATACAAAAACAATGTGCAAAAAACACAAGCATTCTTATACACCAATAACAGACAAACAGAGAGCCAAATCATGAGTGAACTCCCATTTACAATTGCTTCGAAGAGAATAAAATAGCTAGGAATCCAACTTACAAGAGATATGAAGGACCTCTTCAAGGAGAACTACAAACCACTGCTCAATAACATAAAAGAGGACACAAACAAATGGAAGAACATTCCACGCTCATGGACAGGAAGAATTCATATCGTGAAAATGGCCATACTGCCCAAGGTAATTTATAGATTCAACACCATCCCCATCAAGCTATCAATTACTTTCTTCACAGAATTGGAAAAAAACTACTTTAAAGTTCGTATGAAACCAAAAAAGAGCCCGCACTGCCAAGAAAATCCTAAACAAAAAGAATAAAGCTGAAGGCATCATGCTACCTGACTCCAAACTATACTACAAGACTACAGTAACCAAAACAGCATGGTACTGGTACCAAAACAGAGATATAGACCAATGGAACAGAACAGAGCCTACACATCTACAACTATGTGATCTTTGAAAAACCTGACAAAAACAAGCAATGGGGAAAGGATTCCCTATTTAACAAATGGTACTGGGAAAACTGGCTAGCCATATGTAGAAAGCTAAAACTGGATCCCTTCCTTATACCTTATAGAAAAACTGATTCAAGATGGATTAAAGACTTAAATGTTAGACCTAAGACCATAAAAACCCTAGAAGAAAACCTAGGTAATACCATTCAGGACATAGGCATGGGCAAAGACTTCATGACTAAAACACCAAAAGCAACGGCAACAAAAGCCAAAATTGACAAATGGGATCTAATTCAACTAAAGAGCTTCTGCATAGCAAAAGAAACTACCATCAGAGTGAACAGGCAACCTACAGAATGGGAGAAAATTTCTGCAATCTACCCATCTGACAAAGGGCTAATACCCAGAATCTACAAAGAACTCAAACAAATTTACAAGAAAAATTCAAACAACTCCATCAAAAAGTGGGCAAAGGATATGAACAGACACTTCTTAAAAGAAGACATTTATGCAGCCAACAGACACACGAAAAAATGCTCATCATCACTGGCCATCAGAGAAATGCAAATCAAAACCACAATGAGATACCATCTCACACCAGTTAGAATGGCGATCATTAAAAAGTCAGGAAACAACAGGTGCTGGAGAGGATGTGGAGACATAGGAAAGCTTTTACACGGTTGGTGGGACTGTAAACTAGTTCAACTATTGTGGAAGAAGACACTGTGGCGATTCCTCAGGGATCTAGAACTAGAAATGCCATTTGACCCAGCCATTCCATTACTGGGTATATACCCAAAAGATTATAAATCATGCTACTGTAAACACACATGCACACGTGTGTTTACTGCGGCACTATTCACAATAGCAAAGACTTAGAACCAACCCAAATGTCCATCAATGATAGACTGGATTAAGAAAATGTGGCACATATACACCATGGAATACTATGCAGCCATAAAAAAGGATGAGTTCATGTCCTTTGTAGGGACACGGATGAAGCTGGAAACCATTATTCTGAGCAAACTATCACAAGGACAAAAAAACGAACACCGCATGTTCTCACTCATAGGTGGGAATTGAACAATGAGAACACTTGGACACAGGGTGGGGAACATCACACACCGGGGCCTGTTGTGGGTGGGGAAAGGGGGAGGGATAGCATTAGGACATACAACTAATGTAAATGACGAGTTAATGGGTGCAGCACACCAACATGACACACGTTTACATATGTAACAAACCTGCACATTGTGCACATGTACCCTAGAACTTAAAGTATAATAATTTTAAAAAAAAGAATAAAAGTTTTAAAAGAAAACAAAAAAATAAATAAGGTCTTGCTCTGTCACCAGGATGGAATACAGTGGTGTGATCACGGCTCACTGCAGCCTTGTCCTCTGGGTCAAGTGGTTCTCCCACCTCAGCCTCCCAAGTAAGTGGTACTACAGGTGTGCACCATCATGCCCAGGTATTTTTAAAATTATCTGTAGAGATGGGGTCTTGCTATGTTGTCAGAACTGGTCTCAAACTTCCGGGCTCAAGCAATCTTCCTGCCTCAGCCTCCCAAAGTGTTGAGATTACAGGTGTTAAGTTACCATGCCCAGTCTGATAATCATTCTATTTGTGTTTAGAACATATGTTGAAATGTTTGTTGATAAGTATGCATTATACTTTTTAAATGTATTATCCTTGAAATAACAAAAATTCATTTAATATATATTCTGTTTCAGATTTTTCACCAGGCCATCAACTTGCTGCTCTCTCAGTCATTATTGCGAG